ACCATGCTCGGCAGATATGATCGCATCCGTCAGCCAGCACTTCTTCCATTCCCCTTCTTTCTGTCGGGAGAGGAGCCACAAATAATGCTGCTGTCGGGAAAAGCCATCGCCTGCCGCCATCGACACTGAGGCCGATGTCCCTGTCGATGCCACCTTTTTCACCGTCGTACGCACGAGAAAACAGGCACGATCGACGCTTTCATACTGCAGCCGACGTATCGAGAAGGACTGACAGCCAAGCAGAGGCTGAAGCCGATCATAGACCACATGGAAAGCGCGGAGGCTCAGCAAGGGTAGACGTCCCTCAGTGGTGCTCTCCCTTCCCTCCTCAACGACCGCCCCTGTTCCCGGCACGCAGCGCCTGTTATTCAACGCACCACCCGTCGACATTCCGGGTCTACTGATGCTTCCCCTTCCTTCGGCAGAGCTTCCCCCTCCCTTTGTGTCTTCCCCCTCCTCCTCCCCCCCTTCCTCCTCCCCGTCTTGGCCCGGCCCTACCAGCCGGTTGGCTGACGAAGCAAATTCAAAATACTTTGCCACACCGTCGTGGCGATGGCGATCGTTTTGCTGCAGCGCCAGCAATTGCAGCTCCAATACGACGTCGGAGGAAAGGGATGGCGAGGGCGTGAGCAGACGCCAACATCCTCGGACGGCGACCCGTGGAACCCTGGACAGGATCGGAACCACAGCCGGAGTCAACTGCCGACAATAGTTGAGGACGAGATGGTGAAGACGCGGGCATGTCTCTTCGAGAATGTGACGGAGCGAGGCGTCGTTCAAGTGGCGGTTGCCAGTCAGGTCCAAGACTAGGACGTTCTCACCTACGCGCGTCATCACCCTGTGAAGCACATGGAGGGGAGTGTGCGGTTTGATGGCCAAGGACCTGACCAAAAGATCGGAGAACGTGCGTGTGCTTCCAGAAATGCTGCGTATGACGTGCCACTGGGCCGTGAAACTCAGGACGCGCGCCAGGAGATCATCGTTGAGGCGTGTCAGAAGCAGGGAGGCGGGCTGGGTGACGCAGCATGCCGTATTTCCAGGAGCATGACGTTTCGAACTACACTCATCAAGGTTCCTCATCCTCCTTGCTCGCGTGTCCATGTCTTCCGGAACAAGACCTTTTCCACCTTCGATCCCCTCCGTGGGGACCACCAGGTTCCAGCCCGACTTAATACCGCACTTGAGCCACGCTATATCCTGTGTGATGATTGTGACGCTAATAAGAAATGGACTTTGTACCACATTGCCAGAAAACGCCCAAAACTTGGCCTGACAGCCATCCACTTGCAACTCATGCGCGGCTAAGCGCCGGCACCGCGTCAACAAGAAAAAGAGCAGCCATATGCCAAACCACGCCTGTCGTCAACATGCAGAGGCACACAGGGTGCAAATTACCCACTGCCATGCCCATGCACGTCATCGCATGGCTCGTACGGCCCGTCCTTCGTGTTGCAGGGGGCGCCGTGGGGGCGCTCGGTGGCATGACGTCCCGTCGTATCTGGCCCCATGTCACTTAAATGACCCGATCCAATCATCATCGCTCAAGCCGCCAACTTCATGAAGGTGACCGGCTTTGGCGAATTGGACTAGTGCGATAGGCGCATGGCATGACTTAGCCAGGGGCGGGGTGGGAATGGTAGATGTGCACAAAATTGGCTATGTGTGACGGCTTAATGCGTGCTTTAGTTTACGACGTGGCTCACCCACTGGCATTAGGGGACTGACTGGCTGAGGCATGGCAGTGCCCAATGCCTGCTTTTGGGTATTTCCTACCTCGACAAGCGTGAGCGCGTGATGCCGAGCATATTTGTACTCGATGTGGTTGGTAATGGATTCATTTCCTAGGCTTTAATACGGGTTACAAGAATGTAAATGACGCATCGCGGTTGTAATCGCCTCTCATCCGCCAAACTAAATATTTTCCAAACCCAAAAATACTGTGTGACATATTTTGTTTATGAGCTGGGCTATCTGAGTTCCCTTATACCTCTGAAAATCCTCAGATTATTACTTTTGAACACTTAATGATTGATAGCGCAGGCATTTTTCAAGCTTTGATGAAATGACTGATACGCAAATAACGATGCTGGCGCAGGCGGCCCGAGGCAACGAGCATAAGAGGGAGCTGGACGGTGACGAGGGCTGTGCGTGTAGATGAGGGAAATGGTCGGTAGCACGCAATCGCAATCCATCGCTACATGGAGGGATCGAAAGCGCGATACGTGAAGGATAAGAAGGCATGCCACATACACTCCCACCAAGCTTGACCCCACCCCCGAGACGAAAACGGAGATTGCCAAGCTCCTGCGCCCCGTCCCTCCCCCGCGACCTACAGATGAGGACGCCCATGAGGCTCTCCGTCCGGGTATGGAAGTAGGTGACCGTGTCATAGAAGCCGACCAGGGAGAGGAGGGAGATCAGGCATGCCGAGGCCAGGCAGGTGACGAGGTGGAGGAGGCTCCGGGCCTGCGGCATTCCCGGAAAAAAGAGCCAAAATACATGAGCGACAATGCGTTGGCTACGTCTCTCTTGTCCACACTCCCAGGGAGCCTCCAAGAACTTCCCTTGTGTCCTTCCTCCCGCCCTCCGCCCCGCCCTTCGCCCCTACCTCCCGCAGGATCGCCACCGTCTCAAACGTTTGGATAGCCAGGTACTGGGAGATGAAGAGCACGCCGTGGTCGGCGAAATCGAAGCGCTCTCTGCACCTGCCGTCGTGTCGGAGAGCCGAGTACCAACAGGTATCGCCTTCCTCCGCTGGCCGTGGGCCGCCACGAAGAAAAGAAAAGCGAAGAAGGAAGCTGTGTAAGCAAGACCGATGTGATGTGGCGCGAGGCTACTTATACCTCCATGCGCCTCCGGTAGCCACGTCGCACACCTTGGGCATCATAAGCATCATGATCCCACTCGTCGTACGACG